TGGCCTGGATCTTGAACCTCCAATCCTCAATGAGCTCACCTATAGTGATTAGAGATTTTTAATTGAAGAAATATATCAAAGGAAACTTCATTACTATGAACCAAGGTTTGGACTCTATGCATCTCTTACCTCACCAAGCACATGGAAAGAAAGAGCAATGGAATGATTTAGAAGAGATAGATGTCTGAAAAGAGAATGATACAGAATGATAGAACTTTTAACATTGTTTGTTGTTTTCCTTCTCAAAACTCTACATTCCTTGGGACTCCTGGTTCACTTAGGTGTCTTTGTTCCAGAGCTCTTCCTCCCTGGGATGAAGATGAGGTTCCTCCCTGGGATGAAGATGAGGGCAGCAAGGGGTGGGTGGGACTGTGCTCCCTTCAAGGCTCCTTCAGAATCATTTCTAGATGTTTATCAGCTTGGAGCATATGAACTTGGGGGATTTTTGGTGATTTTATAGAGTAAAAAGGACACAAATTCTTGGAGGGTACATTCCATACCCCCTACCAACAATTTGAGATGAAATTTCATATATATATATATATATATATATATATATATATATAGAGAGAGAGAGAGAGAGAGAGAGAGAGAGAGAGAGAGAGAGTTAAAATATAAAATCCATCTGGATTTTAAAATTAAATTATGAGACTTCAAACATATATTGTTCTTGGGAGCCACTTTATACTTATGCTTAGATCTCCCTGTGTTATTATTCACTATTTTAAGCTGTTGTATCTTGTTGAACTATCCAATGAATTAGAGTGCGTTTGCGTTCTAACATTCTCTTAGCTCTTTTGTCACTTTCCAAAGTTGGATTGAATGACATTGGACATTGCCAGCTTCTTAATGTTTTGACAGTGATCTTAGGGTATTATATAATTGATGATGATTATTTTAAAATATATTTTATTGATTTTAGAGAGAGGAAGGAAGAGAGATAGAGAGATGGAAACACTGATGAGAGAGAAATATCAATCACATCGATGGGCTGTCTCCTTCATGCCCACCACTGGGGATCAAGTTCACAACTGGGCCATGTGCCTTGACCAGGAATCAAATCATGACCTCCTGTTCATGGTCTGATGCTAAACCTTTGAGCCACACAGGCTGGGCTGTAATTAATTATTTAGATTAGTTTTCCCAATGTGTAATAAGACTGAAAGCAGAACTCTCCATTATAGACAGAGCTTAGCTTTCAGTAGGTGTGAAGATGATCCAGGATTCATTTCTTCAAGAGTATATATTGAGTGCCTTCTATGGGCTGAGAGCTATTCCTCAAAATGTGATACTACTGTGAACAAGACAGAATATCAATACAAATGAATAAATAAGAATACAAATTAAAACATTCCAATAGTGCTTCAATTTCTGGGATAGGAATAAAGCAAGAAAGGAGTTACAGTTACTTGGTGTTGGAGACAGTGATGGCTTCTCTGTGGACCTGACATCTGGCTTTAGACAAAAATAAGGAGAAAGAGGCAGTCAGATGAAAATGAGGAAAGAATCTTTCAGGAAGTAGCAATGATAAATGCAACTTACCATTTAGAGGAACACAGAGAGAGCTCGTGTGTGGACCACAGTGGATGAAGGTTGAGTAGTTGCAGAAAAGGCAGGGGCGAGACCATATAGGGCTCTGTAGGTAATAGAGAGGAATTTGGCTAATCTGCTAACTACAGTGAGAAATCACTAGAGGTCCTTAAGATGGGAAATTTTATTACTAGTCAGATTAAGCCAAATAGTAAACCACCTGCTTCTGAATAACTTGACTAAAGAGGATATTGTGGCTATGGATATGCATGAAGATTAAGCAGAACGTGGAAGAAGGACCTCAACTAAAATTGACCTCACTTAAACAAGAGAGGAGGACAAAACAGTGTTAAATAATGTAAGGATAATGACTTTTAATAATCAATGAAATATTATATTTTATTATGAAGAAACATGCACTATATGTTATATATTCCAGAAGAGATTCCCACTTAATTGAAAAAAGAAGTCTTTTATGTTTATTACAATAAGCCTTTTAAGACACTGGAAATTCATATATTTAGAGCTTGATTTCTAAAGAGCTCAAACTTCATTGTGGATAACATACTATGAAATTTTGTTTATTTATAATATACTCAACCTACTTGAGTAAAAAACACAAGGAAGTTTAAGGAATATGAATAACACTAAAAATAGCCAGTGTTTCCTTGATATGATAACCCCTCCTCCCCAGGGCATTTAAACGAGGTGGGGGAAACCTTCATCTGGAATGGAAAACACTGTCCTCCTGTTCCCAGGAAAAGAGACGTGGAATTGGAAAACAAAAAACAAAAACCACCAACTCATCTGGAAGCTCTGGAAAGAGCTTTTGCATTTTGGGCCCATTTGTCTCAGCATGTGAATCATTTAACAGGAAAAAACACGGGCTGACTCAGCGAGAGGGAGCTCTCTCAGTCCCTGCTGAGGTCCTTGCTTGGTGCGGCTTCTCCACTCCCCGTGCACCTTGCTTCCGTCTGTCCTCCTTTCTCACTGTAGAGAAACAGGAAGGGATTTTATTAATGACTTGAGCCACACTTAAAACAACATCAGATTTTGATCTCCTTCTGGGCGTGGAAAATGGTTCAGGGATCAAGGAGCAGTTCCTGGTCAGATTGAGAAGCAGATGAGAGGAAAGACCTCTGTGAAACGAACTCACAACCAGCATTTGACACGGGCCTCTATAGTGACCTAGAGCATGGCTGCCTTAAAAAGATCACATCAGTTCCTCCCAACCCTCTGTGAGGCTTCATCCCTATAACAGTGAGACAGCTGGGGCCTCAGCAGGAAAAGGGGCCTGCCCAAGACTGCAGGAGAATAGTACTTGGATCTGGACCTTCTGACTCCCAGGGCTATGCCATCCTCCATCCATCACACCCTGCAGCAGCGGTATAGAACACAAGGGAGTGCTGCCCAGGATGGGATCTCCTAGCTCCCTGTCACTAGTTGTTTACCCTCGTTTGCCTTTCAGTTGTATTACTGGGCCACCTCTAATTAGCTTTTATAATGGGGTCATTCCTTTTGTGACATAGGTTGAGTTTCAATGAACTTGAAAATGAGGAGAGAGAAGGGGGGTGGGGAGAGAGAGAGAGAGAGAGAGAGAGAGAGAGAGAGAGAGAGAGAGAGAGTGAGTGTTAGAGAGTCACATTATGGTGTCTTCCCCATCCAACTCCAGTTGCACAGAAAGTTCTTAATGAACATTGTTGCTATCTATGAGGGGCATAATGAGCTAAATGGGTGTTACCCAGTCTGAAAAATCTTAGTGATGTCAACAAGCCACTTGAGACAACAAGTCTCCTGCCATTTGGTCCTTATTCCTTATCAGTCCTCGGCTTTGGGAAAAGAAATTTTCTGGAAGGATAAGGACCTTTGTGGAGTAACAAGGAGGGGAAGGTTTGTATACTCTAAAACAAACCCATAGTAAGTAATTCTATAGGCTGACAATTTCCCCTTTAGCCTTCCTTTCTACCAGCTATGCAGGCCACTGTCAGATACGTAGAGGAAAAATAATAGTAAGAAAAAAATTCAACCCTTCACGTATATTCACCACAAGTTAGTTCCAGTCATACCAAAATTTGCAGTGTCGTTCTAACTCAAGGGTGGTCTGTGATCTAATAGGTAAATGAAGTGACTCTACAGAGAAAGTTCATGCAAACACATTGGCTTTGACTTCTTAGTGTATACAGATCTTTCTGTTCATTTTTCTCACACCAACTGCTTAATGCAAGATTGTACAAATGGATTTGGAAATCTCATGAAAACTATGAAAGTAAACAAGTTTATCTTTTAGGGAACACACCTGCATATGTGATCATTTTCCAGAGGCAATCAGAAATTTGCTTTGAGAAAGGGTGGGCATTTGTGAAAATGTCAGGCTACTGGGATATGAACCCTCATGTTACCATTGTGTTACTCTGTAACAATGGGGAAATTATATTTCCCCTGCTGTGCCTCAGTTTCCTTGTTAAATATGGGTATACTAACTGTGCCTATTGCATAGTATTATTGTGAGGCCTGAGTGCAATAATGTAGAGTGAACCTTGCCTAGTGTCTAGTAACTGTTTATGAAATATCAATGAAGATGTTGTAGATGTATATTAACATGTAATTATGATTTGTTTATTTAACCCATGTATTCTAATTTAAGTCTCCAAGATTTCAAGACCATGGTTTCATTGCTCTCATGTTCATGCTGCTTCCTTTGAACTTCCTTGTAGTTCCAGTTGACTGACTCAAGACTGTGCAGCAATTTATATTATGCTGACTTCACCCTCATGTGCCCTGAGGGCTATCACCCATCAAATCAGGGAGCTGACAAGTGTGTTGGTGGGAAATAAATGAGGAAGAACAAGGAAAAAAAGTGTCATGAACTTATTTATTGACAATACTTGTTATATGAAATGATGATCATTTTTTTCAGGTATTTGTTCTCTGTTGTACCGTGAACATGGAAGGAACACCCAGTTATTACTCAGTAACCATCTCAATTGCTTATCAGGTAGACTTGCAAAGATAGCTGTTTCAAAGTGCCTTCAAAATACAGTGACATTTTGCATTAAAGCCTTTGTTAGGACTGCCAGACTGAGTCAGTCATTATTGAAAGATACCACCAGCTATAGGTTAATTGTTCATAATAAAATAAATTCCCTTCATTATGTTCTTGCTACCATTCATCAAACAAAGCTCTTCAGGGCTTGAAATTTAGCAGAGGAGTTAAAGAGCTAACCTACCTCTAATCCTAGTAGATTGAAAATCTCAGTGAGATAGCATGGAGCTTTAGCATCAGCTCAAGTTTTAGGCTCAGTCAGACTTTCATCCTGGTTTAAAGTTACTATCTTTGTGACCTAGTATTGAACCTCTATGTGGAAATTACCTAAGAAATATGGCAATTGATGTTATAATCATCTATATTGTAAATGCTCAATAAATATGAATGCCTTTGTTTTACTATTTCCTTGTCTCTTTCTTCCCAGTCTTCCACTGCATTTGGTGGAGTTCAGCTTTTACAGTTCTAAAGTATGTCGCACATAGCAAGTCAGTCACTTGAGGAGGCATCAGCTGTGTGAGTCCTTGGATGCTTTCTGCTATAATGGAGGCCAGGGACCAGAGTCAGTACTCACACCTTGCAGCACACTGACCAGCTGTTCCAGCAAATCAGGTTAGAGCATGGGAACACTGATGTGTGTTTCCCAATGAAGTACTGCATATGGAAATGGTTTGTAAATTGTCAAGGGATCTAGGATTGTGTGGTATTACTCTCACTAGTATCAACACTATCCCTTCCTTCTCACTTTACAGGTTTGGAAACTGATACCCAGAAAAACAAAACGTGGTTTTCCCAAATACATTATCATCATCTCCATTATCACCATAGCAGCACCTACTGTATAGTGCTTGCCTAGTGCCAAATATTGATCTAGGCACTTTCCATGTGTCAGGGGAAACTCATGTAATCTTTAGAACAACCCTGAAGTGGTTCCTGTCATCCCCATCTTACAGGTGAAGCAGAAGCACAGAGAGGTCACATGGTGGTAAGTGGCTGGGATTGGAACCTTAGCAGTCTGACTCCAGCATCATCATTGTGACAATGATGCTATACATACACTTTGAGAAATAAATAAAATTGGGCTCAGAAGATGTTTGACCCTTTCTGTTTTCACCTCATATTACATTTTGGCTTATTTATTAGTTAGCTTATGAGAATGTTTTTTAAAAAAATGTATCTTTATTGTTGAAAGTATTACAGATGTCCTCCTTACTTCCCCCATTGATCCCCCTCCCCCCCTTCTCTTCCTCCATCTCCCCAGGCCTTCAGCGAAATATTGCCTGGGTCCATGAGATATGTCTATATGCATATAAGTTCTTTGGTTAATTCCTTCCTGACTATGTCCCACCTCCCCTCTTTTATCTGAGATTCATCAATCTGTTCCATGCTTCCATGTCTCTGGATCTATTTTGTTTGTCAGTTTATTTTGTTATGAGAAAATTTTAAAGATTGAAACAATGCACATAAAATGTATTGGCTACATGAAAAGAGGCAATAATTGCTAAAGTCACCCAAACTAATTTAAAGTCACGTTGAGACACTCTCCTACAGGGGTGATAATGGCAGAAGTAAACAGTGGAGAGGTGGTTTGTTCAAAAGAAATATGAGACATATCTTTTGCTGTCTAGCTGAAGAGAGAAATGAAAACAGAGTCAAGCCCAGCAGGAGCTGGGGAAGAGAGAAGAGTTTGCACTGAGGGTTTCAGCTAAGATATGGAACTGAGAGCAGTGTCTAGGGGTGGGAGAGGCTAAAGAGCTGACAAGTGCCATTAGTAGAATGACCAAGGACCCAGATATAATGTTGGATAAGAAATGAAAAAACAAAAAACAAAACAAAACCCAAGCATCTTAGTTTGCAGAAGGAGTCAGAGAACTATGAAGGCTAACTTTTAATATTTTAGGCCTGCCATGTGGCAAAGGGATTAGATTTGCCTGTGTTGTTTGTTCTAGGGGACAAAGGTAGGGCAAATGGTGCAAGTGGGGAGAGAAAGGATTAAAATCGAAATGAAGAACACCCTTTCAGTATCAGCGACAGTGACCGGATAACAGCAACAGTAACAGAAAGGACACTTTCACTATCAGGCAGCTCTTGTCACTGTAGATAGATGTGGAGGCAGAGGCTGGATTATTGGTAATGTTGTAAAGCAGCTTTCAGGCCAATAATTTTATATTTTTAATGTAATAATTGATTTTTTTTTAATGAACATATATACTTTAGAACAACCTCTAATATGTAAATTTTTTAACTTGGAAAGGCTCAGGACATTTTTGAGGTCACAACTAAAAGCCAAGATTTGAATCCATCCCTGACTGACTTAAAGTGTAGCCTTGTCCCCACTCCTTCCCATCACCCCCCAAAAACCAAAACAAAACACACTCCATAATCCTGAAATTCAGGGAATTGAGAAGGGAATGGGAAGACAAAACACAGTAGGTAGAGAATATAAATGGTAAGAGATTAGGAGCTGGCTTGGGGGCTGTGACTGGAAAGTGATAACAAGGACAGTGACATCAGCGGGAACTGAACTGTGACAGAGCCAGGCTGTGGAGGCAGAGCCGCCAGGGTGTGGTCGTCCTGCAAGTGGCAGATGTGGAATGAAGACAGAGTTGTTGCTTTTCTTTCTTTTTAATTTTAAAGTCTTTTATATCGAGTGAAAATGTCCCCAAACCAATAGTATGCTTAGTTCTATCTTTTAAGCTATTTTTATTTTTAGGACCTTCTCATCCTTTAACAATATTTATTCTTTTGAAACAAAATTTCCTCTTCTATTTGTAAGCTAGAGGTCATCTCTGTGATGTGGGAATAGAAGTGGTCCTTGCTACGTGGGTAGAGAGTGGAGTCCAGGCACTGTTAGGGCTAGAGTGGAACCCGATACCATATTGACACAAGTGTAGTCTGCCTCCAAGACAGAGGGAGGTGTTTTATGACCCCAGGCTTTATGAGTGGTTGCTATAAAATAATCAGTCTTTTAAAACAAACATACCTCGATGTCTGCATTCAAATGCAAATTGTCATTCAGAGCTGTGACCTTGGGAAAATTTTCACATGTACTGGTGAGAACCATGTTTGAACTCCTCACTGGAAACATCCTTCTGGTCCAGTTTACCACACACACACACACACACACACACACACACACACACACATTATTTTAAGGTACACTATTTTATTGAGGTAAAACTGGTATACGACATGTGGTCTAGGTGTACTATATTACAATTCGACATACACTATAAAGTGAACAGCACCAAAAGTCTAGTTACCACCTATCACTAAGGTATCCTTTATTTTTAACCAAAAATGTTTTGTCTTGCTTGATAATCAGTTTTATTTCCCAGAGGACTGGTTATGAATGCTCTATCAGAAAAATAAAACCCATTATGAAGAGGCAGTTGTTATCACTGAAGAGGAAAAATTAAGGGGGTGCTAATTCTGAAGACCATAATCAAAGCAGAACTACAAAGATAGCTGGAATGTTGGCCATGAGAGAATAGCCTTTCAAGTTGTTACTTTGAAGGATATAACCGAATGTCCAATTCTTAAAACACTTGTAAAATAATAATAACCAAATCCACTTCATGTCCCAACTTGTTTAGGATACTTTTCGTGTTACCACTTCATTTCTAATTATGGTCACACCCTACTGTCACTCCTCACACTGAACACTCATGAAAATTAGCTCAATTCCCAGGGGCATCTAGAGGCTGTGGAACATGAAACCAGTAGCCCCTTAGACTTCAGACATGAACTATGTTTGAGGACTGGGAAGACTAAAATGTTTGCTCATCATGAAACAAGAGCTGCAAAGAGGCAGATATGGCTGCTTGACTGCATCCAGCCTGAGAAATTTCTGGAAGTTCTTGGAGTCATAGCAGCTTCACCTATAAGGAGACAGACTGGGACTGCTTCCGAGTGTGCCACTTCAGAGTGTGAAGTATGGCTGGTACTTTCACTGTTATTTCTCCTTATTATTTTTCTCATTATTCTTTTTGTAATTATTTTACCCATGTTAGATGTTGAGCATTTCTTGTTGCTTAGTAAGGCTACCTATAAACCCTAAGATTTCATTTGTAGATATAATTTCTAGAGAATTTTGATAAGATTTCTAACAGCATTCCATTATTTTTCTACCATGTTTTCTGCCTTCATTATTTTACAAGGTGACTTGAAATTACTGCCCATCTTGGAGTTTCAAGAGAGAAAGACTGAGCTTAGGTATATGGAAAAGAACACTGTTTAGGTAGCCAACGGTTTCCGTCTAGTTTTTAATTCAGAGAAGCAAAAATATCCACTATTCATATGTAACACATTTGGAGTGGACTTTAAGAACAGATGAATTTTGTCTTTCATCTCTAATAAAAAACGGTGCTTAGAGCAATGTGTGTTTACTGGTAACAGATTCCACCAATGGGTGTGGTGGAAAGTTGAGCGTTTGTGGACTGTGCCGCTTCTGCCATTGTCTAATGCATTTCCTCTCGTCTCAAAGGTTCATGCTTTCTCAGGCAAGAGCCATATCAGGTCCAAATACATGTCTGGGTTTTCTTACTCCAAGGATGAGGAGGTGGGGGTGGAGGAGGCTGTGGAGCTTTCTGGCAGTGATTCCTTTGTGGGGAAAGTCTGTCTTTGAAAAGAAAGTAAATTGGGGCAACTGTCTCATCAGTTAAATAAATGATTTCCTCATTGATGGAGGTGACAAAAAGATGAATAACCTTTGGAGAAAGAAACTTTGAGGATAGAAGGGAAGGAGAAATATAAGGAGTTAAATATTGTGAAAGACTTATGAGTAAAGACAGATAACTTGCCTTTTCAATTTGCCCTAGAAACAGTAAGATACTCTTTCCTTATAAAATCAATAAAGCCCTAGTGTCTGTTCTGCTCTGGGAGCACTAGTGATTATGTTGTGCCCCTAAGTAAAGATAGCCAACCTAACCCTAGCTGGTTTGGCTCAGTGGATAGAGTGTTGGCCTGTGGACAGAAGGGTCCTGTGTTTGATTCTGGTCAAGAGCACTTGCCCAAGTTGTGGGGCTGATTCCCCAGTAGGCAGCCAATCAATGATTCTCTCTCATCACTGAAGTTTCCATCTCTCTCCCTCTTCCTTCCTCTCTTAGGTATATTAAAAAAAAATAGCCAACTTATGTATATGTTCTGAACCCCATCTGTGGTGAGAGGCCTTAAAATTACAATAGTGAAAATCAATATTTGTAATATATATATATATATATATATATATATATATATATATACACACACACACACACACACACACACACACACACACACAATACACTCAATAGGATTATGACTGTTATAGACATATTTCTCTGTAAATGTTATATGCTAACAAACCAGTTTACCTGATTTTTCTTTACAAAACTATAGGTCATCTTTGAGAAAAACTCAACCTAAACTATATATATATACATATATATATATATATATATATGTATATATATATTATATAGAGCAAAGCCTTCACACATCATAGAGAGGTTTAGAAAGGAACATCAACTTGTGGTCTATTCCAGTCCATTAGGGTTATGATAAATGTGATCCAGGGAATCTGAGTTGTGTTCATGCATTTGTATCTTCCTGTAATCTGGGCTTTGACTCACCTGCTGATCTGTGTCAGTGTCAGTGTCAGACTGCTGGATTACTAGTATATCCTATACTTTCCAGGTTTTATGGGTCACTTTCTTGAATCAATGCTGATTTTTCCAATTAACAGAATTCTGTCTTTTTTGGCAATTGTTCAAAATGCAGCATCTCAAATGCAGACTTTGTAGCTGCAGTTACACATATTTTGCAGCCCATTTCATGTCTTAGCTTAGAATTCTGCAGGTATGCTGGAGGTGTGATTCCTCTGTTATTCAAGGATGGATTGCAAGTTGTCTTGACCAGGTGCCTTCACAAATTGCCTGTGACGAAGGCTGTGGTGGAAAGGGCATTAGAGACATGTGTGGCTTTTGATGGAAAAACAGTTTCCTACTGAGAGCCAACCAATTTGTGAATCCCTTTAGGTGTTTGTGAATCCCTCCTTGTCCCCATGACTGCCCAGCCATACGGAATGCTCTCTTCTTGGGGTTTGGTTAAGAT